AAAAAAAATAGTGAAATGTTCTTGGTTGTGAAAGTGACACAGTTTTGATTTCATCCAAAACCCATGGCCCCTGCCTTTATTTGTGTCCCCAATATGTCCTGAGACTAACACAGGTCCTTGTAATGTTTTAGAACTAAGATGCCAGAGAGCATGTCTAAGCAGACAAAACGAAAGATAACAGTTGAGCCTGCTCCTAGTAAAACGAAGGATTCTCAGCGACGACCTAGTGTATTTGAGCGATTGGGTACCAAAGCTACATCGAATTCTAGTTCAAGTCAAAGTAGTAACGAAAGCTGTTGTAGACATTGGTTGCAGAATGGCAATTGCCCTTATGGAAAAAACTGCAAGTAAGTTCATAGTTAAATCTGTTAATGTTTGCATATTTAATTGTATTTGGAAACAGAACAATTGATGAATTACCTAAATTACTGCTGAAATTGTTTTACTGTAGGTATGCTAATACGCACACACTTATCAGCCCATCTAAGAGAGCTGCTAAGAAAGATAGTGATTCTAAGCAAAAGCAGGTATGTTGTCTATATACTTCTCTCCATTAATTCTGCAATGTGCATTTTTATATTTATTGCGTCCTGATAATTGCATGTATTTTATCAGTTTAATTCTTTCTGTACAATAACTAGATAAAATGTGGGCTCTTGCAAGAAATTAAACTGTTTTATTTAATCAACTAGTCGACAAGTTAAAATATCATAAAGTCACAAATATCATAAAGTATGATATTTGTGAAGATAATTAATTCTGGGAATTGAGATTTTGGAAAGAATTTGAATTGCTTGTTCTGTAATACTGTTTTACAAATTCTTAAGTGATGCAGAACAATATAATGATGCAAAAACAATTTTGCCTGCTGTGCTCCTGGGAACTTTTGTTCATAATTCAACTGTAGCAAATTAGAGCTGATAGGGAATACCAAACTGAAGAAAACATGTTACATATGTTTTCATTGGAGACATGACAACAGTTTCCTATTCAATGTCTGAGAGAGGCGTTTTGGTAATACAAGAAAGCAAAATATCGACATAAGAACCCAAAAATTTATCTTTCAATGTCATGACTGTATTGTATATTTCCCTTTCCTTTCAATAATTACATTGTATGTTAACAAACATTTCTACTGACCTGGTGGTATTGCACAGATGTTCACTTTTCGGAGCAGGTTTGTCAGTAAAGTAGTAAAATGCCAGGAAGAAATTCCGGGCATGTTACTTAACACTTTAAATCCTGTGCCTGCTTGAGTGTGGCTTAATCCCAGGGGACGGAGCCCGAGTATAATTTGAGTAAATCATATTCCAAGTTTTGTCTCGTGTAACAAGCAATGTTTGGTCTTTAGTCACATAGAAAAATATTGTGAGGCTTTTCCTTGTTTCTCTATGTATTCAGGATCTTTGAGAGTCTTCCACCATGAGCTAACTATATGTGTATCGGGTAGTTTCGTACAACTTACCAACGCATAATTCACCTCCATTTATTTCGTCCTGAAGGAGGTTGCATTATTACAACTGAAATGTTGACATCTGTGTCTAGGAAGTAGCCTTTTCTATAAGTATATATTGACTTTCTTCACTAGTTCATTTAATTTTTCATAGAATACACCAACAACACAAAGTTGCATCTGTTTTATGAAATATTCCACTTAATTGTGCCACTCTGAGTATAGTGTTCTATTAAGCTTTACATCCTCCCTTAAGAATGAGTATGTCCTTTCTGCTTGTTGATTTCCGTCTGTCTTCTCAAGTCGGCAGTCTCCATGATATCAAACATCGCCATCCTTTTTTTTCCTAGTAGGCTATGTTTATAGTTATATTGTCTCGATACCAAATATGTATCGAATATGACTGATACCTAATTGTGACTCATTACAATAATCAGAAGAAAACTAAGGGAAATTATGGATGAGGAAAATATCCCCAAAGAAATAATAAATAGAATTCAGAGCCCATACACACATTCAAGAATGAAGATCAAATTGAATAATGGGACAAAAAACAGGAGCTTTTAAAACCATCTGAGGACTTAGGCAAGGGTACAGATTATAACCATGTCTTTCTAACAACTATCTATGCCAACCATACAATGAAAACATAAAAGTAATAGGTACTCTATGGAATAAACCTAAATAAAAGGCATCAGTTACTAACAATCTTGTATGTAAATGATTTGGCAATAGAAATGGAAACAAAAAATAATCTACAAATCGCAGCACATATTCAAAATAGAAGAAGAGTGTGACATGATAATTTCAGCAAAAAAAGCCAGAGCCTTTCAAGGAAACTAAATTGGATGTGTGGTGTCATAGGCTTCATCTATGGCCAGAGTCATGATCTGCACTATTTGGGTGACCCCACGTCGAAGGCTGAGATGCCGACGTTTCGGCCAACATATCGTGGTCTTCTTCAGGATTGTAGTGCAGACCTAACATCCTGCAGATCGATGAAGAACTCATTTACAGATTTTATGACAAACTCATTTAAAGTTTTTAATTGTGGCAATCTGTTTCATTTGAAGTGAGTGTGATCTTCCCTTCTGCCAGACACATAATCTAAAATTAACTTGCAATTGTATTTACTTCGAGCATTTCATAAGTTTGCTATAGGAGTTGAAGTCATGATTGCAATAGTTTTATTAGTGTTCTTCAGAATATTGTCGTCAAGATGTTTTGTACTCCTTGTTTTTGGAAGGGTCTTGTTGCTTTGGGGATGAGTGTTATACTGCTGGAAGAGCCAACTTCAGGTACAGGCTCCTCCTATCCTTCAAAACTTCTTTTACTTAACATGCAAATATTCCTACATTTCTGAATCTTTCCCATTGTTTTTATGAATTGTTATGCTGTGTAACATATTTGCAAACTCTATTCTCTGATTACATTTCCATATTCAACACATTGCAACTTTGCTTCCAACATTTTGACATTAATGGGATCACCTTGTGATACAAATAAACACTTTTCACTCTAACTCGCAACCAAACATTCCAAAAGAAGGCTTCTTATTGCAACTATACTTATCTCACAACTATATTAAGTACTTGCTAGTGTACGTCACTGTTCAAGTTTTGCTTGGAAATGGCTCATGCCGTTTTTGTTGGGATGAGCGATTTATATTCTAAGTGCTTATTATGTGGTGCTGAGCACTCAGGGTTACACACATAGATTGTTAACGGTATCAAATGGTGGGGAGGATGGTTGACATCTGTACATCTTTTTTTTCTAATTTGTTGCTTCTTCAGTTGATGCAACGTGTCTCCAAGTCCCACAAACAATGAGCTATAGTGAAAATCAACAAATAAAAGAATGAATGTGTCCAATAAATGTTACTTAGGCCCTACAAGCTCACATCCAAATGAATGAAGAGGAACAAAAATATAACCTTGTGAGTTTTCAACCATTGCTAACCTCACTTTGTTGGTAGTTTTATTCATCATTCAACTAATTTATGGTTAAAAGGTGCAGAAAACATTTAAGAGCTTGAGAAAATGTGTCCAGATTGACATCTCTCATACTTTACATATCGTTTTTTTACTGTTGAACAAAGTAAATCAAAATAAATCGAATCAAATCAAACCTTGGTGATACCAGTAATAAACAATCCAATTCGATAGCAAGCCAAGGGTATAACATTATTGTTATCAAACCAGAAGAAACATTAAAAAAGGAAGACTGAAATTGAGGTAGTTCAATGCTACCTTAAACGATCCAAATATATTTAAAATTGAAAATGTGCGGAAGAAAGATAAAAAAAATGATGATGGATGAGAAATGTTATTAAGGCAAAAGCTCATAATAGTTCTGGAAAAGATTATCATTATCAAGTAATTGTGTTTTTGAAAATTTTCAGTAAATTTAAACATTTTGAGAATTAGGTATGTCATAAATAGTTTTTCATGATACTGTTCTGTTATTACTCACTTAATGCAGATGATCAGATAAATGAAAAACAACTTTTAATAGCCGGTGTCATTTACAGAATGAACAGTGCTTCCCAGTGAGAATAATGGAAACAAATGAACTGTAGCTAAAGATAGTGTACGAGTACACTTGTTCCAAGAAAGCAATAATTCTTTGTTTTAATAAGCTTTTTTTTCTTTTAAAAAGATAGTAGTACAAAAATGTAATGGAATGAACACATGGCCAATAAAAAAAATAAGTAATTTTTGGTGCTAATGATGTTAATAACTATGTTCCAAATTCTGTCACTTTGTAGAAAATATCCATGTTATCTAGCTTGCATATTTTTGACACAATAAACGTTTGTCCAGGCTGGTGAACTTTTTCATGTAACAAGAAATATTTTATTTCTTTCAGTTTTTTCAAAAGCCATTAATGCACCCTGATTTAGGAATGAAAGGTCCTATATACATGAGCAACAAGGAGTCACAGATTAATAACATGAGTTCTCTGGAATTGGAAAGTAATAGCATGGCAGCTCTTGTATCACCTTCCATCCACACTTGACCCATTACTTCAGCCCTGTCTGAAGCCATGAACTCTTTCCTTTCTCTTGCATTAATTTGCAATTATGGACACTTTGTTGACAAAGGAGCCTTGCTTGATTGGTGTCCATTTTCTACAACAATGCAATCAATTGACATCATTTCATCCATGCTTAAAAAAAGCTAATTATTTTTAATTGTATTTCTGGTGCTAAACTCAGGGCTCGTCATATTAGATTAGAAATTGAACACCCGAACTCATCATCTGTTGAAACATTTCCTTGGATTGACAATTAAATTATTATCAGCTTCTAGATCAGAGCTTTTGATAATGAAAATTCAGAACTGTAAGGAATACTATATTCATTGATAGAAGACTGTTGTTTACACATTCACCTGGTTATACTATATGGTATCAGAACCTTGTAGGTGTCTAATTATTAAAAATCTATCAGTAAAAGAGATTTCTATTATTGAATGTATTTTTGGAGGTTGAACAGTAATTTATTTTGAAATCCACAATGGCATTGCTTTAGGTGTTGATCAATGAACATAATTCAGTACAGCATGGTATCGGATTGTTGTTTAGAAACAAATACTTTTAATAATAATAATGATGATATGAAATTGTGTTCTGATACCATATGGTATCCCAGGGTGTTAATGAAATTGTTAAATAAAATATTTGATTAACATTCTTTCTTTCAAACATTCTGTAAGTTAGAATCTTTCAGAAATATCAACTTTATTTGACATTTTTCACTGTAGAGTGTGTGTATTGTGCCTGTTTATGAACTGTAAATCTATAATTAAAGAAGGGTTAAATCCTCCTGAGCATTGTTTGGAAATTCCTATGCAAATAAGAAACTACAGTTTGTCAAATATTACTTAACCAAAATCACTTACGATTTTTAACTGTCGACGATCCTGTTACTCAAATTAAAAATTTTCTTTTGCATATATTCACAATAATGTTTAAAAGGTTAAATTAGGTATTATCGTATTAAATGTGTGCATTAAAATATTGTTCTTCTCCTCCTCTTTCCCCTTCTCTTCTGCTTCCCCTTTATCTTGTAAGATATTCAACTCTTCCACCTGTTGCCGCTTTTCTGGACTTCAAAGAGCGACATCACCCTTGAATTTTCGGTGCTCACTGCCATTGATTGTTCTATTTGAACTGCCTATTTTATCTGTCCACCGCAGCCCAGATCTGCGAGAGAGATAAGTGTATCAACATCACTGCTAGCGTGGAGAGCGTGATGATCTGTCGTACGTTTTCTGGTTCCCGATTATCCAGCTCTGCACGCGTTCGGATTGTTATTCCAACACCCTGGTCTCAGGTGCTGCCGAGGTGTTAAGGGACTGGACTAGATATCCACCATTGTGCTTGGATCTGAGGTCACGCACTAATCTTTGTTCAGCCTGAGAATGATCCTGATGTAACCAAATAAGCGTGCTGTTTAATACAGCAACTTATTGGTTTCTGGGATTTGTAGGTGTGTACGTGTAACGTTTCTCTTCTGAAAATAGTTTTTGCGGTAATTACATATTCCCTTGTTTAAATGCAAGTTTGAATGTACAAGAAAGGGAGAAAGTAAAACGATCGTAGAATGCAGACTGTTTCTGGAGACTCTGAATGGGGCAGCGAATAGTACCGGCAGCGTAGAAGGGACTCTGGACAGTTCGATGCGGTGTTGCGACACATTACTACACACATGGCACCACCTACGTGAGAAACGAAATCCCAAAACATGCAACACTTACCGACAGGCGATGACACGTCTTGATATCTTGTTCATAACCTTCGTCACAGCCGAACCTCATCGCCTACGCGATTCCGTGCGAGTCAGATGAACGGCAATACTAATCATTGGCTGTGAGAAAGTAAACAAATCTTCGCAAGCTGACTGCTTCAGAGCAGGGCACATGACGCACCACAGCACGTGGCGTGACAACTGTCGCTTATACGCTGCCGGTACTGTAAGGTATTCACCATCTCGTGTACTGCTGGGACTCCTGTGTCTTATATTCATTATATTCCGTGTATATCTACTTTTTTTACACTCACCACCCTGTACATTATTTAAATTACGAACTCCACGATGGCAAAGGTGGCTCAGGGCATCGACTGATGTCACTGCAAGTGCCTCTGACCGGGAGGTCTTAGGATTGAAGACCTGACGGTGACAGGTTTTCAACACTTGCTGTCGACACTAGCTACGTCAATACTAGCTGTCGAAACTGCTTTCGACTCTAGCTAGGTCGAATTCATCCGCCGACCGGATGAAAATGCTAGGGGGCGGCTGCTCTGATCGGTAGTTTTCCGTGGTGTCTCCTCTGGCGATCAGGCGAATGCCGGAGCAGTGCCCTAACAAACAGGCAACGGACCGCGTGCGATAATTCTGTCCTCTTCCTTGTTGTCTTGCACCTTTCATAGAAACGTGTGCACTAACAAGTTCTGCACTACCACACATGTCGGGAGCTTATCGCGGCTGGGGCGGTGTCCCGCTGGTGGGAGAGACCTGATTGGGGAAAATCCCCGTAAGCCGACGTAGGTCGACGCCGTATCTCGGCAGCCAGCGCCTACCAGCGAGCTAACTCAGATCAGATTGAAGATCACCACCATCTCCCAGGATGAACACATGCATTACACTTACGGGACTAACGACCTTAGCCGTTTACGTGCCGGGAATCACCTATCGATACCCATAACAGTCGCACTTTCTGGTGATCCATGTCATACGGCTAGCATTTAATGGCGCAAAACGACACTGAAATTTGAGCGGTGTTGAGTAAGACGAGAGTTTGATGTTGTGCGGTGTCGGTTGGCAGGGCCACGGGGCAGGCAAGGCGGCGCCTTCGTCGTGCGGAGGCAGCGGCGGGGGCGGCGGCGGCGGCGGCGGAGGCGGCGGCGGAGCTGGGTCGGGGGCTGCGGCGGCAGCAGCGGCGGCGGCGGCAGCTGCCAGTTCCAAAGACGACCTCAACAAGCGCCTGCACTCGACGGTCGTGGTGAAGAAGACGAGCAGCCCCGACCTCAACTGGGAGAACTGGGATCAGACGGACCTCGAGTACGAGGACGAGAAGGTAGGATGCGCTGCTTGCTTCCAATTGTATAACTAGTCGGAAACGTCGTTCGTTCTGCTTCCCTCCGTCGAAAATGTGGGCGGTCTGAACTTGAAAAATGGACCAACTCTTAGTTCACAGAGAAACTGGTTTTCCAAACTGTCTTTTACGCTATCTACAAATATAATCACTATGACTGTATCTCTCCTTAGGAAGAATACACCACTTTCTAATGAGACATTTTTTTGTTGTTGCAAAGAATCTTAAAAAAAAAATAAAAAAATAAAAAAAAAATCCACATCCTTTTTCTTTTTATCAAAACAGAAGCAAATATGAAACTGGCAATGATTATTGACAACCATTAGGAATCTCAAGTTACAGAATGAAACATGCGTTTGGATTCTAGTAAATACTATCCATTGGTTCATTAATTTTCTTTGAGGACTAATATTGAAGGTAGTGACTTCAAACCCATTGATGTGTGAAATTGAAGTTCTTTCTCCAATTCCACTGGCAAAGATTGGCTTTGGAGTGTTCTCTTGTTTGTCTGGTTTCTGAAATGGATTAAAGTGAATTAAAGAAGGGTTCATGGTGCTTAATGTTATTCTTTGTGTACTTCTGGTCTTAGATTCAGTATTGATATCAATTTATCGATGCTAAAAATTCAAATGTTTGGCGAAAACACAGTATTCTAAGATCTGATATACTAGCAGAACAAAAGACATTTTGTAAAGTTAAATAAGTGAAAGTAAAACTAGCAAGCTAGTATTGTAATACATACTTTATATTGGACTTCAAAAATGGATTGATCTATAATTCATTAAAGGATTCAATATGTAACATTTGCTTTCCCTCGTTGACGTTTTGCTTTGAACTTTTCATATTAAAGAAAAATGTATTGGATCAATTCTGTAGTTTAACCAATTAAAACTAAGCACAATTAATTCATGATCATTAGAAATTTAAAAGTATCAAATTTCTGTATGAAGGTTATACAAGGTCGTACAAACTAATCCTTGTATGTGTGCCTTCTGTAATATGTCTGGGAAGTTTACTTTGATACATTTGAATAATAATATTCAAAACTATTATTACAATAAAATGCTATGATGAAGGCCAAATAAAAGCCAAAATTTTGTAGATTAAAATAATTTGTTTAAATTTAACCTGAACTCATGAAATTTTCCACCACAAATTGGTGAACAAGGTCAGGAAAAATAACGTGTTTATTATGTGATTGCTCCTACTTCAACTACTTCAAGTATGTAATCCCCAACCATCAAGTTATTTACAGCTTTTACTTCCAGTATTTTAAGTCCATTAATTACATATTTGAATTTATCTTGTGTTTGAGCTTTTATGAAACTCATTGATTTACTTTCGTTGTGAATGAATATTCCATTTGTTCTCATTCAGCATGATAATTCATCAGCTGGATTGCAGGCCCTTATCTAGTGGGTGGCAAGAGATGGTTCTGCCACTCTAACTAGTAACTTCAAATTATTTTTTCAGTAAAACATTTTGTAAACGTGTGTTATTTATTCAAAAGGTATTGTTGGAAATGTAATATTTCAGTATCAAAAACATGCTAGTAGTATATTTCATAATATGATGAAACTACTAACTATCGTCTTTTAAACAATCTGTAGAAGTTATGATTGCATAAGCAAACATATACAATTCTTGATTCCTGTTCAAGAGAATGTAAATCAGAAAGTATATTCAAACTGCTATTGTAGAATTTGCATGAGGTGTCTGTGCACTTGAAGATCTTTATAATACAAATGTTAGCTAGAAGAATTGGACACAGTTACTTGATACAAAAGTAATCTTTTATCATAGAACAGAAGAAAATTTCATGCAATAATAATTATATTAAAAAGTATTAAAGACGTAATTCAATATTTTGGGGATTTCCAATGTGGAGCCTCAATACGATTGAAGAGTTGCACGGAAGAATGGTGTAATCACAGTCCTTTTTTTGCCTTGTGATAGTAGACTCCCATATTTAAGAATTACATACCATTAGAAGGTCAAATAAATGACTCTAGAATTCCAAAGAAAGCATAAAACTAGAGGTTGTGAAGAAGCCGTTAATCCATCGTACAGCTGTTGTAACGGTTTTGCGAATTGCACCAGTGCCAATTTGTTCTGGTGATAGTCAGTCAGTTGTAATAGTTTGTTACTGTGATGTTAACTCAAGAGTGATGAGTATATTTTCTGGTGATATTCTTGAAGGAAATTATTTATTTTATTTTTTAATTTCTAAGTCTATCCTAAACACGAAAGAATTTCAAAACTTGTCTCCAAAACACCACCTTAAATTAAAGTTTGGAAGAATGGCTTAAGACATCATCATTACTTATATTGTTATATTTACATTAGGAGAAAAATTTCTTTAAATCCAGAGAGTGCAAAATGTTTCCATAGAAATCAACAAGTAGATGTATTGCATATTAAGATTACCTATTGAGGAAAGAAATGGGGTAAAATCACTTGTGAATAGTTTTAATTATTATTTCTCAAAACTGTTTTAGGGTTAAGCCATTCTTCCATCAAACTCCTCTTTTGAAAGAATAATAAGCTTTCAAACACGTCTGCGAATAAACATTGTACGCATTTCATCACATTATATGCTCAAAATTACAAACTCATTTTATTCTTGGATATTAAATTATATTCTTGGATAGTAAATTACATATATTAGCATATTGAAATAAAAATTTCATAAAAGCAGCATACTATAATGTTACTAAATTGAAATCGGCCTTCTTGTGTAAAACTCTATGTATATAGAAATTTGAAATTTTCATTTTCTTACGTTTATTTCCATAAAATTCAAAATAAAGATTTTAAATCTAATGCAAGTGAACGCAATCAAGTAGTGAACATATTGTTTAATAAAAATATATCATTTTAAAAAGTATTATTATTTATTTTTAAGGTTTTAATTTTAGGTTTGGATATGGCATTTTTAAGAACACTGAGATTAGATAAATGAATCAATGATTATATTACAATTTCTCGTTATAATTAAATGTGAATGGAATTACAACTATCAACAATGAAATCATCAAACAAAACAAATGATCCAAGACATTTTTGAAGGCAAATGTTTTTATTAAAAACAGTATTTTAATATACACAAATAGATTTTAATACTGTGTATTTTCTCCTCAAGCTTTTATTACAGCTTTATACTTTCGGGGCATTGAAATATTAAATCTTCAATAGTTTTTTCTGAAATTTATTTCAACCATACACTATGAATAGCATGTTGACACTCATCCTATTACTGGGTTTCTTTCGGAAAACTGCATTTCCAGTTAATATCCAGCAGTTCTCTTTCAGGTTTCAGTCCGGGCTGTTTCCTGTCCAGTTTAAAGTTTTTATTTGAGTTTTTCTTAGAAACATTTGTACTTTTTTAGCTCTATGGCAAGTTGCTGAATCATCCTAACAGAAGCTGTTCTTTGCTGATCCAAAATTTTCGGAAATGGATGGAAATGGTTTGTTTGCTAAAATGTAAATATGAACTTCAGAATTTTCTGTCCTTTGCACCATGTGCAGTGTACCTACTCCTTTCCAAGATATGCATCCCCAGACCATCTGACTTTGAGGAAATGTAACTTTCTTAGTCAGTAAAGGCTTCTTCCGTGGTCTTCTTGCATTCAATCCTACCTCCAATAACCTGTTTCGAACAGTCTTGCTACTAAGTACAACACTAGCTGACGTTTCCCACTCGCGTACAAGTTCACATGAAGTCATACTCCTGTTCTTCAAGCATATTTGTTTCAATATTCTGTCTTGTTTTGTTGTAGTTGCTCTCTTGCGCCCTCTTCCTTGTCTTCTGCCCACAGATGTGTTTTCCCAGTTCAATAGCCTGCTCACTGTAGATTGATTAAAACCAAGCTTCTTTTCTTGTAGACTTTCCCTCAGAGCCTAGAGCAATAAGGACACTTTTCGTCTGAGGAGTAAACTCAACATTCTTTCCCATATTGTGTAAGTACTCACTACACCCCTCTGGAATCAACGGGGACAACAATGAGCTTGAACTCAGTTTACAAATTATTTCCCAATATGCCAGCCCTTTGTTTAACAAAACTAAACAAACATGAGTGCCACTATAACTTGGCAGGAAAAAAAAAATTCCATAGCAGTTACACCCTAATTGCAGATACCAATGTTTCTGAAAATCAAATGATGCAATAATTTTTTCCAGTAGTGTAGCCAGAAATTGTAATACAGCAAATGAGTAAAAATCAATGAATTTTGTTGTAACTTTCTTCATATTTTTGTAATAAGTCTCCACCAACCAAAAATGATTGTCCGAGTCGTCCACAGCATACTGCCAAATTGTACTTCTGGTTTTAGGGCTTCAACTTGTCTTATTAAACTTTTCATGTATAACAAAATTATCTTCAAAAGGTTTCACATTAATTCTAGAACTGATACCTTTAATATCCCATCAGAAAATAAGTGGCCTGAATTCACTGCCTTGTGGCACTCCATATATCATAACTCACGGTCGTTAATTGGAAGTGGCAGCGAAGGAGTCTGGGAGATATTCTGTAATCCGGGTGTTTTCAATTCCCTGGGGTGGTAGTGGGCTTCCAATAGCGAAACTACATTGTTTTGTGCGCGTGTGTGTGTAGGTACTAGAGAAGCGGCGGCAGCTGCTGCAGAGGGAGTTGGAGCTGCAGATGCGGCGGGAGAAGGAGGAGCAGCAGCAGCAGGCAACAGCACAGCGCGGAGCGGGGGCCCGGCGGACACGCCCACGCGCACGCCCACGCCCACGGGCACGGCCCGGGGGCGGCGTGGCGGAGGCGGGGGCGGCGGCGCGCACAGAAGGGCGACGGGGGCGGCGGCGCCGCCAAGAAGTCCAAGAAGCACAGCAGCAGCTCGTCGACGTCGGCCAGCTCCAGCAGCTCGTCGGAGTCGTCGTCGACGAGCGACGAGTCCAGCAGCACGTCGTCCAGCTCGTCCACGGACACGCGGCGCCGCAAGGGCGGCGGCGCGGCGCCAAGGGGAGCGGGGGCGGCGGCGGCCGGCAAGAAGGGCCCGCCGTGAAAGCGCGGCGGAGGGGGGGCGGGCGGCGGCGGCGACTCGTCGTCCTCGCCGCCGTCGGGTGACGAGCGCAGCAGCAGGCGCTGGCCAAGAAGAAGTCGGCCCGCAGCAGCCCCCCGCCCCCGCAGCAGCCCCCGCCGCTCCGCCGCCGCCGCGCTACGCCAACGCCCCGCAGCAGGGGTGAGCGCTGGCACTTGTTTTGTAATGGGGTGTGGATTTGGGCGAAAACGACTTCTAGGCTGGAATTCAGGCCTTTGCTCTCGTTGCATTTTGTACTGAACAGAATGTTGGAATTTGATATGTTATTCAATATTATTATTGGCAACGTAATTGGGGGCAGTTTAAATTTGCATTCTTATATCCCTCAGATTACATGGGGATGAAATAATGGAAGTCATCTTTGTCAACTTAAACAACATGTACTAAGTTGACGAAGATGACTTCCGTTTCATCCTTGTATAATGTCAATACCTCATCAGTATTCCCACAATTCTTATCACAGAGTTGAATATTAAAGCATGTTCAGTGTGGAGGGTACTGGCTTATGTCTAAGTGTAGTGTGTGCATTTGAGAAGTTTAAACAATGCAGTTTAAAGTTTGTTCAGTATAAATACTGGCCAAAGACACCACAAACCTAAGAACCATTAAGTAAAAAGCTTAGATAACTGTGAGAAACTATATTTTTGGACTTGTGGTATTATGAACTTTCTTCTCATCTGTCCCTTTCACTCTCACTCACCTGCTCTCTTTCATTCACTCTTCCACTCTTTCCATTAGGAAACTAATTTTGAAACTGATTTCAAGTTTTAAAACATTCTCCATATAGAGAATGAAAAATGATTCAACATGCAAATTTAAACTGTCCCTAATAATATCTGTTTTTCCTTTCAAAACGCAACTAACTTGCAATTTCCAACTAAACTCTTCTTAGTACCGGAAAAACACTAACACACACTTTTTCAGGATATGTTAAACTCTGAATGTTCTTGTATTTAAATAAGTCACAGATGTTATGCGAACCTTTAATTTTTTTTACTCTGCCGCCTTGGTATATATTGTCAGTTTTGCTTTCCACTTCTTTGAATCAACTGCTCAGTAAAATAGTTATGTAAAGCTATAGGTAAGAGTGCCAATGTTTTTCAAATGTCTGTAGATTCGTATGCCAAAATAGTGGATTTTCCGTGCTTTTATACTTGGGTGGGCTTTCTCATCGTCACACATCAATAGATACTGGGACATTACAGCTTTCATACACCTTCAATTTTTTGTTTGATTAGAGTACAAGCCCCTCACACTGAATTCATTGACAGAAAGCCACATGTTTTGAAAAATTAAAGTTGATTTTATTATTCTCAAGCTTAATTTGGTTAGGGATTTTTCAAGTGGTGGCTGAAGTGTTAGTGGAATTGAAGTTGCAATATTGTACTATTCCGTAATTCTTTCCAATAATATACACAACTATGTATTGCTGTATTACCACTATAAAATCAGAGCTGACAAAGAGGAAAAGCGAAGTACTTATTGTACTGTCTATTTCTCTCTCGCAATGCATTAGTGCTTGAATATTTGTGTCACTGTGGAGGAAGACGGCTCAGTTAATAACAATATGTTACTGTTGACTTGAGTCTTACTTTTTCTTTAGACATTGTGAAATACTGTAGATGTTTTGGTATGGAAAAGTAAAAGAAATGTTGTGGAGGGGAGGGAAAAAAACAAGAAGAAAAAGAGGGAAAATTATATAAAAATAAATAGTGGCTTATAAACCATATTACAATACAATATACCGTAATAATACATTATAAACCGGCTGAGGTGGGTCATGGTAAAAATTGTTACTCCAGTGATTCTGAGTTGGAGGGCCAATGGTTTGAGCCCCAAAGGATTTTTGAAACTTGCTAGGGAATTTTGAAAATCCTTCTTGAATTCCTCCATTGTCTCAATGAAAATTCTTTATCCATGTTGCACTGGTCAGTGTTTTTGGGTTTCTCCAATTGAAACAAGGTAAATACTACCGTAATAAATGGGCGATGAACTGGCACGAACTTTCCTTCCTCATCGTTGCCCTTTCTTTCCCTCTTGCTAAATCACACACATGCACACCCACCCACTCACACACACATGCAGTCTTAAATATTACACTACCACACGTGTAGGGAGCTTACAGATTGTCCAGGTGTGAGGCTGGTGGGAGATACCTGGAGAGCGAAACCCCTCAAGCTGATGTGTAGGTCGGCGGTGCACCTCGCGTTCCACCGGGACAGGAACACCGCCACCTCCCGGGTTATAACATGCTGTACACTAATGGCAGGGGTGCATCTACGGCTGGGCAGACATGGAACTTGGGATGGGCGCAACTCACAGGGGCGCTATTTATTCTCGTTGAAAGAAATAACAACCGTAATTTGAAGAATCCTGCCAATTCCTATGCTTGCCGTGCGTCTGAATGCCTAAATACGTAACGACCGTAGTTAACGCGCATAAAGCACGAATTAATGAATGTGGTGTAGTACAAGTGCGTGTGAATGTGTGTTGCAGGGCTCGCAAAGGCGGGTCTCCGGCGCCCAAGGGCAAGGGTGCGTCATCGGGGCGTCGCGACGAGCCACGCGGCAGCGGCGGCGGCGGCGGTGGCGCCTCGTCCTCGTCTTCGCGGGCGGGCAAGCGGCGCGACGCGACCTCCCGCCGCCCCCGCCGCCGACCGCAAGGGGCCCGCACGCGCACGCCCCACGCGCACGCGGGCGCGGCGGCAGCGGCGGCGGCGCAAGCGCTCGCTCACGCCGCTCGGCCGCAGCTCCAGCGCGCACCGCGCCGCTCGCCCTCGCCCGCGTCCGCCCCCGCGCCCCCGCACCACACGCGCGCGCCAACGGCTCGGCAGGCCGCGGCCGCCGCGCGATCCCACCGGCCCCCGGCGCCGCCCCGCGCAGCAGCGCGCCGCCGCCGGCGCGGCGCCAAGGACGCCGCCGCATGTGAGGCTGCGGCCAACTACACGGAGGGTTACTCCGAGGAGCATACACATACACAGGGCAAGAGAGGTGATGAAGCCATTTAGAAACGCACTGACAAACTTGCTGTTATATTGACAGCAATGGTCAAGCAGTAGCTGTCAAAGCGGTCCTGTCTTATGGTAATCTCTCTCTAGCAAGAAGTAACACTGCAATAAATGAAATAGTTTACCAAAACTTCCTCACGAATACAGCAGTAACATGTCCGGTTTAAATAGGGAATTGTTACAGATCATCAACTGGACATGGTTATCCAATCGGGCGCTTCGCTGTTACTTTTTAATTTTTAGTATTGAAGTTCCAGATTCGATAACCAAGTCTCAGTTCTCTCTATTTAAGTTGCATAATAGTACAGTGTTGACACGGAAAAAAATTCTTTACATACATGTAAATTGCAAATAACTGGCAATCTCTTCCTTAGAGCATAGCTCTCGCAATACATCACCCTGTGCCATGACCAGTGACGCACCGGGAATGTGAGTTCATGTGTACACGCAGTGTGAGAATTTGGGGTAAAATCACAATCAAATATTTCAATTTTTCTGTCAAAATCGAAACTGTTTAATTGTTTTTGGATTTCATCTGAGTTCCTCGGTATCTATCAAAACATTAGATAGCTCACCATACATAGCCGTATCCTGCATAGTTTTATTTCAATTTTTGCGGGCATCAGGAATTAGAAATATAGATACGAATTCAATGTAGAATGAAGTATTTGGGTCTTCTCCCTTATCCAATGAATCTGAAGGACTAGCTTCTGCGATAACATGGCAAACAACAGCACTGGCCGGCGAGAGCAATGGCGATCTATTTTTAACCTTAAACTTTTAAGGTGAGTGGTCGCTAAACTACACATGCCAGTTTGAAGATGATGCTCAGGCCTTCAGCCTACAAGATTGTTGTATAAAACATCCATCACTATCCAATCTTTATTTTGATCTCGATTTACTCGGCACTCTTAATTTACACCCGCACTATTAATTTATTTCAAAGTATCAGCACAGTGACGCTTCATTACCCATAATGAAGTTCATGACATGGCTCATCCTTCGGTTTAAGCAATTAACGTAAAACATCCTTGAGCCTGTGCAATGCATAATGTCTGATGTCTAATGTCTGACACTTTTTGTATTTACTTGAAAAGGCCATTATCATTTGAACTACAAAACAGAATGCCTTGGTTTCCGCCACTTGTTCTTAGTTATCGTTTATCGATCTCGCAATGCCGGAGTCCAATTCATTACAATAAGGGGTAGGATCCTACTATTCAGATCAGATGATTTCATGATTTTAACTGCTTTTGAAATAAATTCTTAATATAAGATTATCTTAGGATGCCTTTGACTTATTTCCAAGAAAGGTCAGAAATTAGAATTCCCTGCTTGATTCAGTTCAAGTATACTCTGCAGAGTAAAATAGTATTCAGTTTCTGAGTTGTCAAAATGATTTGAAGAAAAGAAATATACAAACAACTACTCTGTTCTTGATAGTGACATTTCCTTTGTACACAAATCTAAGATGTTAATATTTTATTTCTCTGATGTGTCACTAAACATTATTCATTATTAAGAGAAGAGCATATTATTGCCATATGTGCATTCATACATTTTTTGTTCATATATATTGTAACTGTGTATTATTCTAAACACACTACTAAAGTGTCTTGCCCTAATGCAAATCATATTGTTATTGTTGTAGGTACGAAACATCTCTCTCCACGACCTAGCCAGTCTTTGTCAGTGGATCGAAAGGACAAACACAACCAAAGTGTGTCTCCTCGCCCACCTGGCCGAGATCGGGATAAGGATAGGGACCGAGATCGTGATAAAGACAAAGAGAAAGAAAAAGACAGAGAAAAGGAACGTGAGAAGGAGCGTGAACGGGAGCGAGAGCGTGTGCGCGAGAAGGAGAAAGAGAGGGAAAAAGAGAAGGAGAGGGAGCGCGAGCGTGAGAAGGAAAAAGAAAAGGAGAGAGAACGGGAGAAGGAGAGAGAGAGGGAGCGAGGAAGAAGCAGGTCTCCCAAGGGGAAGGGCAAGGATCGCCCTCTGTCTCACTCCCCACGCAGGGATTCCAGGCCTCCCAGGGATCCCCGGAAGAAGGATTCTCCAGACATTTCTTCAACCAAGGATGGCAAGGGCTACAGGTGAGAGATTATTTCCATTTTCTTACTTTCAAGTGTTGTAATATTGAAAAATCTCTTAACACAAACATTGAATTAGATATAAGTAAAACATAATACTTCATTAGATGCTCATGTGTATTTTCATTGTTCATTTATTTTTGTTCCAAAGTTTTACTGTGGTAACACTACAGAGATGAAAATGGTTGCCGGGCATTGGTTTGGACAAATTTGCAAACAAAAATTTATAGTTTGAAACTATCCATCACAAGATTGCTCATTTGAAACATCTAGAGACAGGATTGTTTGAAATTTGAGATGTCAGCATTTGTTGGGAAAAAGTTACGCCTCTTTCGGATGACTGAAAGGGAACTCAAAAATTCAATTAACTTAATAAAAGTGGGGCGACTTGAATAAACATGGTTGCCGCCTTGCATATTGAGAATTGGCCTCCAGTTTATGTACTTCCATGAACTCGTACCGAATTTCCATCAATTCTTGCCAAAAAATAATGAAGGCAACTCGTTTGAAAGTGTTTTTGTCATGCTCATTTCAAAATGGAAGGCACAGCCCCAATCGTCGCCTCATCCATCAATGTTTTAGTTGTACGCTGAAGTCCCAATTTCTGTACTAGTTTTGTTAACAACTGTTCTCAATTTCTCTACTAATTTTGTAAACAACTCAGGACGGAATATTTCACGGCATTTCGCCTTTTCTCTGTCGTGCCGCAAGATGTCGCATGATCGTGACAGTATCAGACTCAGAAAGACGCGAAATGTCGTGAGATATACCATCGTAAAGACAGGCCTTGATGCGCCACGCTATAAAAACCGAAGTATAACTATTCATAATTTCTGTAGTAGATTTGTAAATAACCATATTGCATTTGTACTTGTTACTTTCTTGAATGGCCCTGATCGGTTCGTCCGCAGGAAGGAGCACGAGCGCGGCGGCCGCGGCGACAAGGACGAGGAGGCGGCGCGCGGCAAGAAAGACGACGGGCGTCGCCACGACGAGCGCGGGGGCGGCGGCGCGCGGGAGAAGGAGCGCGGCGGCGGCGCCGGATGCCGCCCAGGAGCGTGACAAATTTAAGGGGATGAAGAAGGGGCGTAGGCACGGCCCGAGGCTGGGCGGGAGCTCGCGGTCCGTGCACGCCCACGCGCACGCCGCCGCCGCGGCCGCCCACGCGCACGCCCCCTGCCCCGCAAGCGCGCCGACTCGCAGATGCTGCCGGCATTCGTGAGGAAACGCACAGGCAGGACCTCGTGCCCAAAAGTAAGTGGCCTTTGTGCGGTCGCTGTGGCGGAACTACCCCTCCCGTATGGCAATTTATACCATTTGTACCGGGAGAGATGGTCCAGGGTATCAACTCGTGTCACTGCAGTCTCTGTGACCGGGTGGTCCTAGGTTCGAGTCTCGACGGTGGCAGATTTTTTCGACACTAACTTGTCGGCTAGGTCAAATTCAGTCGCTGTCTGGAGAAAAATTCTACAGGCCAGCTACTCGGATCAGTTTTCCATGGTTTCTCCGATCAACACCAGACGAATGCTGGAGCAGTACCCTAACAAACGGGCCATGGACCACTTGCTACCACACACCACACATGCCAGGAGACCAGTCAGATGGTTAGAGCTTGCTCCTGTTGGGGCCGTGTCCCATTGGTGGGAAAAAGCCCATTAGCCGTCGGTAGGTCAGTGCCGGATCTTGCCATCGAGAGAGGAAAGACCGCCGTCACCTCCCAAGAAAACATGCACTACACTTATGGAACCAATGACCATAGTAGTTGTCATGCCCAGAATCTCATTCAATCAATCAATACAATTGTAAATATGCACTTAGTGTACTGGGAAGCGTATTGGACAATTATACCCTGGTTTGTGGGTTCAAACACAATCAAAGCTGTGGATTTTTGAAGGGAAAAAATATACCCATGTTGACCATTAACTTCCAAATTAATTTTGTGTGCATCATGCTCGCCCATTATCATCACGTCCATAACTGTTAAGTCATTGTTCATACTCTCTGGTACCGTGTGAAGCTAATCCATTGTTATGTTGCTAAATTATACTATTAGAGCGCTCCAAAGTGCCAACAGCTGGTTATATGAACATTTGTTTCTATAAAAAATAGCAAAACTGTTAGAACTTAGCTGCATGTGCTCCATATGCTCCGATGTGGACCAACCACTTTTAGCTTTTCACAGGTCTCACCCTCCTACTTAACCAAATGCATTTAGCTGCTAAGCACGGTTTTAGATAACGATTTGAACTTAACAAGTCATGAAAACACCTTGTTTAGGATCGTACAATGCTTTAGACATTTTGCCTAAATCAACAACTAGCAATGAGGAATGAAAAAAAAATTGGTTATGTTTTGTTTAGAATGCGTACTTCTATTGAAGAAGTAAAATTTGAAAGTTATTGCAAAAGAAGCAAATTTTATTTGACTGAAAATGTGCATCCCCAAATGAGGATGCTGGGCGTTATTAGGTTAGAGCACATATGAAAGGATAAATGTCTAAAACGGCATTTATGTAAACATATACAAAAAGCAGAATATAATTTTGTCAAAATCTTTCATTTGTCATACTTTGTTCTTTAAAATAAAATAGGCATCTTCTAATGTCTAGTAATAACATTCTAATATCCCATATTTCTAGGACTGCTGGTTAAGAATAACAGAGCCAATTAGAAGTTTGTATTGTTGGACTGAAGAGATCCATTATTTCTGGGACAATATGAAAACAGTTGTTCAGAATAGAAATCTTAGAATTCATTAAATATCCTTGAAAGATAAACCTTGTTTAAAGTATAACACTAGGGAAGATTTGTACCTCCAGGAAGGTAGATTGCGCAACATACTCAGTTTTATAAGTAATTTCGAATATCAGTACTAGAATGTGATATCATGTTTCGGTTTTTAAATCTGCCGTATCATACCGTGTTTTGCTAATGCAAATACATTTAAATTGCACCTGTAAGATATGTAGAATCAACACACAAAGTCTATTAAAAATAAAATATATTTTCAGTTCATCTACGCCACTTTCAGGAGATATCAACAAAATTAGGCTTTCATGTTTTTTTTATGAACATATCTTTTGTATTCGAAGATTGCCATCTTTACCATCTCGCGCCTGGTAGTTATGCTCAATTACAAGTAGATCATAGTGAATCTTTGAAAACAAGTCACGTGCACCCTCATATTTCATACAGCTCATCAATCACTGAAAGGAATTATTTTAGCCTCTTACCTTTTCGCCGTCATACAAGTATCCAACTGTTGGGGCGACAGATTCTAAGTCAGTCGGTGTCATGCGGAACTCTACCCACAGTGCATGTGAAGTTTGTGTCCGGTTTGCATGTGCCTCAAATACATTAATACAATGTCAGTTCTGTGGGTTTTATGAAGTGAAATTCCCCACATGATCTGTTGAATTGAATTGGTTCGATAAAATGCAAATCGTCATTTCACATCGAAAGATGAAGTGAATGAATCAACCCGATAACTTCTGTTACATTTGTTAAAGATTTATATCCAAACTTCATAGGGAAAATATAAATGAAATTACAAAACTTGCATATTCTTTATACTTCGGCTGTCATGTTTGTGATCAGGACAAACCATGGGCTGCCCAACGGTACACCGAACCTTAGTTTGTGGTTGTGTGGAAAACTCAAATTATTGTCATTCGCTGAACCATTTTTATGGAGAACACCAACATTTTAATGACTGCTACTTCCTCATGATAAAGATATCTAAACCTTTCCAGATCAATTGTACACAAAATTCTTCTGCCATGCAACCTGTTACAAATAGTTGGCATTGCCTGAATCCCTGGAAACATGATCAATAAATCATGAAGAAAGCTATAATGAAACTGAAGCCATGTTTTCTCCAGAAACAGAAGCCTCCACTTCAAAAGATCCAGACTACTTACCAGGAAATTCTGACGTCAGCCTGCACTTAGTAGAGCAGGGAGACCTAAATGATTTGGGTCTGGACCTGAATTGGTCAAAAAAAGAATGAACTGCTGGGCTCCAAATTACCGTAAGGGAAACAACTAGATGCTGTGACAAAAAATTCTGAGTTTAGAAACAGACACAAGACCGTTGCCCAATATTCTGCTCTTGAAGGTACTTTTTGTTTCTGTGCAGATATTACGGGGTTAATGAGTGAATCTCTATAATACAGATGAAAGGAAATTGTTTATAGATTCTTTAAAAATAGTTTCAATGCAGTGGAGAATTCCACGGATGAGTAATGCAAAATCGAAGGAAGGAATTTTCATTGGCCTGCAAATCATAAAACTCATGTTGGGTGAAATATTGATAGAAAAATTTTGTGACATTGAGTTAGCAACTTGGCAATCCTTATAGAGAGTTGTGCACACACAAGAAGTCAATTATAAAACATTGGTTAGAAAGTTACAAAAATATGAGGTGTATAATGTCTCTGATAATTCATTTTGTTCACTCCCATCTTAACTTTCGGTGCAGAATTTGGGTGATATTAGTGATAAACATGGTGAACAGTTTTTTCAAGATATTTCTATACTGGAGAAGAAATGCTAAGGGCATAGGGATCCTGCAATGATGAAGTAATCAGGAATACAATAGTAACTGTGAAGACGCAAAGCATTTTTAAGCAATGCACTAGGAATTTCACCTTCCAAGATGTTTCAGTATTATTGCACAAATATGAGAATTCCATTTTTAACTTGTTTTTATCTCATATGAGCATGAAATCTTCATAATTGTTTCCTCTGAAATCACATTCATCCTGGAAGTATGAAAAAAATATTGTTTCTGTTCCCTATTGTAATAGAAGGTGGCGAAGCTTGCGCATTGAGAGCATTTGTGGCAAAGAAGGCGGGCATGGGGTTGATGGTACAAATTAATATGAGGCCCCTGATTCCCTATTAATTTCTTCTTGTCTGGGATGCAATTAATCCAAATTACGTGCCTCTTTCGAGATGTTCAAATTTTAAAAAAATGGAGAGAAAATGTTCCTGAGAGTAGTCTGAGATTATATCCAGACTGTGTTTCCCAATCAAAGTTCTTCTCTCATTAACTCTTCGATTCAGCCCCAAGGGAGTTTTGAATATCTTCCTCTGGAGCAACATGCTCCTTCGTGGTGCCCAGTGGGAGCAGAGTAAGTAGTTGGACTAGGTGAGGCAGTGGTCGCCAAACATGTGAAACTTCTAAGTAGATGTACAGTTTTTAAATTTTACTGCGAGCTGTCAAAAGAAAGCAGAACAGAAATAAGAACTTTTGTCAAACTATCCACATTAGGAAATGTCAACTGTACACATGCAAAACATAATGGATAAAAATGCAAGCGCTCTCAATTAACTATGAGACTGACAGTAACAGTTGCAAGGGATTGTGCAAACAGCTGTTTTCGTGAGTCTTTTGTCCAGTGGAGCAACTCCAGGTTAGACAACTCGAAGGAGATACTGTGATCCAAAGATATTTTCCCTTGGAGAGTTTGTGTCAGGTATCTGTGCTCTCGACGACCATTATAACGCGAGCAAGACATGCGAGAATGGAGGCACTGCAAATATGCAGTAGAGACATAGTCACATACCGACGTTGTTCAGAACACATCGGGTAACCTAGTGCGAGCTAGGGGTTGTAGGCGCCCAGAAATTTTGTTTTAGTAATTTGTTTCATTGAATTTCTTGTGATATTTCATACATGAAACGTAATTTTTTTGGTGAAGAGGCTGACCATCGAAAAGTTAGGAAGTCGATGTTTTTGAGACAGTATTTAGTATAGCCCTCCTCTGTGACCCCAGCCATTGCATAGATTCCTTGCGAGAGCTTGCGGTCGACGGTTCAGCGATCTCCGGACTTACGTCAGAATTAAATAATGACTTTTATGTACAATGCGCTGGACACGGTTAACCAACCGGGGTCTTTGTTAGGACTTATTCATTGGTATTTCAGCTCGCGTGATTGGACGTGAAAAGTTACTCTTTTAGTTCGTAGTATAAGGGAGCTGTTTGTCTGTTGCAGGTCGAGATCACGGCGAGTCGGAGCGGGAGCGCGAGCGGGAGCGCGAACGGGAGCGCGAGCGGGAGCGCGAACGGGACC